GAGCCTATCCTATAACCTGGAAAAGCGTTGAGTGTGACTGTGAGGTCTGGGGAAACCCCTCGACCGCCATCCTAGACTCGGGATCGTCAGCGGTCGCCATTTCTTGGAGATTGACGAAACAATTGGGAAGCGAAGGACAGGTTCAGCCCCTCCGACCGGATGAACTGTATATATCCGCTACGGAAGACAGCATTCATTGTGAAGGGCGGATAACGAACGTGCCTATACGGGTGGGGCGGGTGCATTGTTTGTTCGACGCAATCGTGCTGGATGTACAGGCGTATGATGCTCTGCTAGGCATTCCGTGGCAGGCGGCGGTCGGAGCGCGAATGCACTTTGACAGTTGTAAGGTGGTGCTCACATCGGCCCACCCCAAACCACAAACGATACCAATGAGATTGGCGGTGCGTATGCGCACCCAGCCGGCGCCTCGAATCACCACGAAAGCCCATCAAATCAACATGATCCGACGCCTGTCACCAGGCGAAAATGAAACCTCGTCGGAAACTGACTAGCTTGATGTACCCGACCGATATCCGATCTGGGTTCAGGATCGGTGGCGCCATTGTTGGCGGCGAGAGCCCATGGAAATTGTCCGGAGTGAATCCAATCAGTCCCATGCGTTCTCCTCTATCGTGCAGGGAGAACCCCCGCTGAGGGTGTCCCGAATAACTGACCTCTCGAAACCCCCTGCGTCCTTATACCTCCGGACGGACCCCCTGCCCGAAAGATTTACGTAACTTAGGGGGCTGTGCGATTTGTCTTTCCGTCCCCCACGGCCCCTACTTACGAATGAAAAAGCCGCTATGCTCTTGAAGGAGGGGGTGTCGTTTCAACCCCGGACAAGGGAATATCGATGGAGGCCGAAGGAACTGATACAGGCCTTTTCAGTGGAACCCTTGGCGGAAACCGAGCTCGAGAACGACAGTGACATGGAAAATGAGCCGATAAGCCCCGCAGACAGTCAACTTATCGCAACCGTGCTTTCGGCAAAAACCGACAATTCTCTGTTTGGTGCCTCACCCGAAGCCAACGTGGCAGCCCCCATGGTTACGTCGGCGATCTCCCTCCCTGAGGGAAACGTGGACGTCCGGCTGCCGGCCCATGTGCCTGACGACTACAAACGCCTTCTTTTAGCGGTTATACGGGCCTACCCAAAGGCCGTGAATCTAGGACCACGATATAGGACTAACCCACTTGATCCAACACGCGATTGATACCGGTGATCGCGCTCCAATACATTGCCGACCGTACCGTTATTCCCTAAAGGAAAGTCAACTGGCCTCGGAAAGGGTATGGGAGTTCGAGCAGTTAGGGTGGGATGAACCATCGCTGGGACCATGGTCATTTCCCGTGGTCCTCGTGCCAAAACGAAACGGTTCGGTCCGAGTATGTATTAGCTACCGCAAATTAAACGCTATTACTACCAAAGATGTCTATCCGCTACCGCGGATTGACGATCTGCTGGATGCTATCGGGTCCGCTCGGGTCTTTTCAAAGTTCGATATCCGACACGGTTTTCACCACGTCGCAGTCCGACCGAAAGACCGGCCCAAAACCGCTTTTGTCCTGTTCGAGGGCACGTGGCAGTGGATCCAGTGTCCCATGGGAATTGGCAACGCCCCCGCAACATTCCAGCGGGCCATGAATATGGCCTTCGCCGAGTTCGTTAACAAAAGCTGTTTGACACAGCCGTTGATAAATTTCTGCGTGATTGTGTACATGGACGACATTTTGGTCTTTTCCAAAACCTACGAGTACCATGTGGAACATGTCGAATGGGTGTTGCATGCGTTGAAAGATGCGGGGTTCAAAGTGGCTCTGGAGAAAAGCGAGTTCTTTCTGTCCGAAATTTCCTTTTTGGGCTACATCATCAAGGTCGAGGGACTGAAACCGGATCCCAGGAAGGTAGCCGCGGTTCGAGAAGCCCCGGTTCGAGCCTTCCTAGGGCTGGCCTCTTATTATCGACGCTTCATTCGGAGCTTTGCCTGCCTCGCCAAGCCACTGACGAACCTGCTGAAGAAGGAGGAGCAGCTTATCTGAACGCCGGAATGCGAGGCGGCTTTTCAGGCACTCAAGGAGGCTCTGACATCGGCACCCGTGTTGGCGCGTCCCAATCCGACAAGACAGTTTGCGCTGCATACCGACTGGCAGCCGCACACGATATCGGCGGTGCTGACTCAACAAGGAATGGATGGAAGGGAGCACATCATCGAGTATACGTCGAAAACGCTAAGCCAGGCGCAGTCGAACTACGAGGCGTGCAAGGGTGGGTGCTTGGCGGTGGTGTGGGGGGTTCAGCACTTTCGACCGTATCTGTACGGCCAGAAGTTCGTGCTCGTGACGGATCATCAGCCATTGCTATCATTGCGGAACAACACGGACTACACGGGGACTTTGGGAAGGTGGGCGGTGAGATTGCAGGACTACGACTTCGACATCCGCCACCGCGCCACCAGGCAGCACGGGAACGCTGATGGTCTGACGTGCCTCCAACCGCCGAGCAAGAGTCCCTCGACTGAAAAGCTTATCTTGTGGAAGCCGATTTCGCCTTCGACGGAACCCGGCTACGGGGAGGTGAATGTCCTCCGCAAGGGTACTGCAGCGGTCGGAGATGGCGATCTCCCATGAGGAGACCGCCACCCCTTCTCCCCTGCCCTATTCTCTAACCCCCTCTCCTGACCCTGACTCCCCTCCGAGCACGCCTTTCCAAATCTGTTTCTTCTGCACCTTGCCCATTATACCGACAGGGGGAGATCCTCCTCTCGAGGGGCCTAGCTTTCTTCCCTGGGTCCAATGTAGTCAATGTCACATCGTCCGGTCCCATGGGAGTTGTGCCCAAGATCGGAATGAAAAAAGTTGGAACTGTCCCAACTGTCGGACGGACCACGTACCTACGAAAAAACGGTATCTAGAAGCTAGAACGGCAGATGGATTTTTGCCAAGCGTCTGCCGAGCGGAAGTCTGGACGGATCTTCTACTATTACGAAGACTGACAGGCGATCCGCTGATGGAACTTACCAAGGTTGAACGGCGACGTGTCACGGAACGGGCGCACGATTACCGTTGGCAGGGATCCGTCCTTCAAAAACGAAAAGACGACGACGTCGACGGATCTAGTTGGCGGACGGTTCCACACCCACAGGCCAGGTTCGATTGGACACGAGCCGCCCACGAGGAGGATGCGGTCCACTTTGCGGTCAAATACACACAAAAAGCAATAGAGAAAAACGGATGGTACTGGTCGGGAATCCGGGAAGATGTGAAATACATCGTCCGGACTTGCCTGGCCTGCGCGGCCGATAAGGCGCCGATACAGATGCCCCGTACAATAGTGCCTACCCAGGTAGAGTGCCCCTTCCAACGGGTCAGTATCGATACGACGGACATCAACGTGTCGAGAGGCCCTAGTGATCAAGGAGAACTCAATGTTCTTCTTGTAGTCGTCGATCACTTTTCGAAATGGATCGAAGCGTATCCAATGACCAGCCGGAACTCGCTGGAAGTAGCCTGGTACATTAATCGCTTTTTGTGCATGCATCTGGACGTAGAAGAGATACATATGGACAATGGATCCGAGTTCCAGGGGGAAGTAGAGCGACATCTTGTAAGGGCAGACGTTAGAATTTCATACTCCCCAGGGCACTGACCCCAAGCCAACGGACTTGTAGAGAACGCCAACTGAATGATCAAGACTGCACTGAGACGGAATATCACAGCAGGTGATACCAAACCCTGGCCTGTCATAGTCGACCACATTTTGGCCGTCTATCGGGCTACTCCCCACGGAAGCACCGGGGTGTCCCCGTTCCAACTGAGAACCAATAGCATCCCCAGAGTGCAGTTGTCACCTCTAGTGGGTACGGAAGTTTGAGTGACCCGGGCCCAGCACAAGGACAAGGCCCAACATTACCTGGATCTGATGGCCAGGACCTATCCCGCATTAGCCCGAAGACGACAAAGGGCCATAGATCTGACGCATCAGTGGCAGATCCGGGACTATGAAAACCGACACGCGATAGGGGGACCAGTGCCCCGTTATAAAATCGGGGACTTGGTGCAGGTACGGAAATCTGCGCGCTCCTCCAAGATCCACCCATGCTATACCGGCATTTACGAAGTGACGAAAGTTGGCGCACGAGGACAGCACTCCGTGAAGCTGGTCCCCCAGCATAGCACGCAGGCCAGGTCGCTTACGCGGCACGCGGCGGCTCTTCGGCTATTTCGGCCATCTCCGGGTCGCGAACCGGCTCTTGCCCCTTCTGAGCCTTCGTCCTCTCTCTCCTCCTCTCCTTCTTCGTCTTCCTCCTCTTCCCGATTTGCCTCGTCCCTTGGTGCTCAGAGTTTCAGGGAGCAGGATAAACCATCGCCAACCGGAGCATGAGCCCCTCGAGCATTTCCAGACGCCGCTTGCAGATCGCTTGTTGCGGCATCAGTTCAATGAGGAGAGGCAGTTGCGATACGACATTCAGCAGGTGAACGTGCCAGCGCCCGGGGTTGCTGATCTGGCGGCGTACTCGTTACTTTGTGATCGGCTGACGTATGCGGGGGTGTACGTGGACGTAACGCAGTTGCCAGGGCGGGAGACGACTCGATTGTTCATCGAGTTCCGGGCGCTCCACGTGGCACCTTACTTCGTGCATAGCGTCGCCACCTTTATCAGAGACTTGACGATCCTGCTGCTGTCGAGTCGGGAGCTGGCGTGGAGTTTTGTGTGCGAATACGCGGTGCAGGCGGCCAGATCAGTGGCCAGAGTCCAAGGACGGTGGGGACACCGATTCACAGCCCACGAAGCACTGCTGCGAAGGGAAGAGGACGGACCAATCGCATTGGTGCCACAACTCCCCGCGCTTCTTCCTCCCGCTGCCCCTCTCAACATCCAAGCTATTCCCCCTGCCCCGTACTAAATGCCTCCCTTCATCTCTTACACCACTCTCCCCTATCAACTCACGGAGGGCCCTTATCCTATGCGGGAGTTCTCGGAGTATTTGGTGGAGCTGACTTAGATGGAGCCGTTGCCCTTTGCAGACGAAGATTCGTGGGAGTTGCACCGTGCGCTGTACAAGTCGGTGGCGTTGGGGATGTTCCGATTCTTCGTGGACCACGAAGACCACTGCATCGGGGAGCACTTTGTCGTCTATTACGTCATCACACGGCCCAAGTCAGCGCAGAAGGAGGGGACGGTGGCGCTGTACCCATTCGCCCAGCTCCAAACGATCGATCCGGGATTGCTGGAGCTCATACATCTTGAGCTCGTATCCATTGCGCAAGTGATCGCCAGCGAGGAAGAGGAGATCGAGCCACGATTGCAGACGGCGGCTGCCCCGCGGAGAACGTACAACGCGGTCGTCATCCCAGATTACATTGCGCAGCGCGAGGAGAGGTTGGAGGACTTCACGGAGGAAAAGCCGTTGCGACCTCCCTCGTCATATCCCAGACCGGTGCCGCCAAAGGCCCCCAAGAAGACGCCGAAAAGGAAGAGACGCCACCCGTCGCCAAGAGCGCAAGGCAGCAAAATTGGTGGTGGCGAGGAGGTGGTTCAGCCCCCGCACATGCGGAATCTTGATCCAGTGCCTGGGAGTGCGGCGACACTCGTTAAGGAGACTATCGTGCCATCGCCGCCCTTCCCGCGCGTGCCCGATCTCTATCCTGATGGAGCGGGGCCATCAGCAGCCACCGCCTGAGGAGGAAGCCGAATGAGATTACCGGATCCCGTATCCAGACCCCCCGTCCTCGCGGGACCTCTCCGCTTCCGCCAGCCACCCCGGAGTGCCCCGATCATTGACATAAGCAGTTCCCATGAGCCGGACGGTCCATCCGACAGAGGTGGATTTCATGGTGGAGCCCACCACCATCAGGCTCGAGGCCATCGCGGGGGCGCCACGCCCTGATCCGGCGTGGGAGCCATATCTGACACCCCCTTTTCAAGGGTGTAATGCGGCGCGACTGGCAGGGACGCTCATCTACGAGACCGGGCAGCGTCCCAATGTGATGTACCACTTCCTTGTCTTCACGGCGCAGAAGCGGGAGCGGCGGCCTTACACCGAGACTCATGTGGTGATGACGGGTCCAGGACCCCGATCGGTGCGCAAGCAGGTGGTGCGAGCGGTGGCGGATCTGGTGCCACGTGTCCTGTCTCATGTGCCGGGGGCCTTCCTCTATCCCTCGTTCGTCCAGCACCACTTCCATGAGGAAGACACTCTGACGACTCCCGCGGCAATGGCCGCTTTTCTTGCACCTATTCCGCCCCCTCTCAATCCCGACATTAATCACTTCCTCTGATCACCCTCGTCTACGTCTCCCCTCTTCTCTCCTTTTCCTTCTCTTCATCGTCTTCTTCTCCTATGCCCAAAGATCGCGCGTCAAGACGCGCTGTGTATAAAAAAAAGAAAAAAAGATAATAATAATAAAAAAAATCAGTGGACTACGTACCGATCGGGCCAGCTGACAATGAAGGGGCCACCCAATCGAATGAGGGAGATGGCTGACGATGCGAAATGCATCGAAGTAGGATAGGAGATGCTCGGGCCAGCTGGCGATGAAGAGGTCGTCCGAGCATCCAAAATATGATGACATCAGCAGTCAGGAGACTGCTAATTTTTCAGAAGCCCCTGCGTATCACAGATGTGATAAGCTCAGACCCGTACCGAGCGGCTTGCCGTATCCCTGAGGAAAAATCCCCCGGAAGCCCAAAGTACGGATGCGAAAAAAAAGGGGGTTTTCTTTCTTTTTGCTTTTGTTTTCCTTTTGAAACGGCTTTTCTTTTTTTCTTTTGGCTAATAACTCCCCCGCGGGCGAATAGCGGCCGAGGTATGAAAACCAAGAAACGGTTTCGATTGGGACTTTTTGAATTTTTGCGCGCGCGCGCCTAAGCTCCGATTTCTTCGCGCGTCTCGCACCCCCATTTCTTGCTTTGCATCCCCGCGCCATCTTCCTTTCTTGCTGCCCGCGTTTCCCCCATGCAGGACTCTTCGTCTTCCCCTACGCCCAGCTTGATCCTTACCCCGTCTTCCTCCGGGAAGTGATTGGCTGCGTAGTTGGGATGCTCGGATCAATGTGGATAGCGGGAAACCGTGCACCACTTGAACGAACACCCCAATCACGTAGGACCATGCAATCCCGCGGGTCGAAACTTCTAACTCCCCACCTTTCTTCTGTCCTGCTCATCTACACCCTGTGCTGCCCGCACCTCACGCTGACAACCCGCCGCCTCCCGCGCTATAAATTCGCGCAACCCTCTCCTCTCTTCCTCTTTGATCTCGGCTGCAATGCTGCGCGAGCTATGCGCG